CGGCCCACTTTCTAAAAACCCACCAGGTAGTGGGACTTCCCAATGCATAGCGATGGCACGTAAGGGCATTTGTAGGGCCTTCAGGGGTCAGAAAAATTGCAAAAAAATTCTATATGCATTGTAATGGGTTGTGAGACACTTACCAAGCTCGGTTCACACTAGTGAACGACGGAGAGCTCAATTTGCAATGTTGAAAACTTGATATTCTTTACCCTCTCACACGTCAGTGGTAACGGAGACAAGGAGACACCAGTAGACTTGAGACAACACAAGGAACACTATGGTGTGGGAGACGTCGAAAACAGAACAACAATCAGTGATGAAACGTTGATTAAAGATTTTTACTAAAAGAGAAAAGCTTGAAGAGAGAGAATGATGTTTCCAAAAGAGAAAATTGTTGAATTTTAAGGTTTTAAACTCAACTAAGAAGAAAAATTGTTAAATTACAATGTATGTGCTCAGGCTTTGGTTACTTTGTGATTTGGGTATAAATTTAACTAAAATTTTATTTGGTCCCTAAATTTAATAAAATTTCAATTTAATCCTCAGAAAAATTTTAAAAAAGTTTAGGCCCTAATTTGGGGTGTGACACAAGATGTATCATGACCTAAAGAGTCGGTATGAGTGGCCATGAATGAAAAGAGCTATAACCGAGTTTATTTCAAAATACCTGACATGTCAACAAGTTAGAGCAGCACATCAAGTGCCTTCAAGATTATTGTAACCAATTTCTATTCCTTAGTGGAAATGAGAACGAGTTACTATGGATTTTGTCATAGGATTAACTTTGACACTTAATAAAATGGATTTAATTTGGGTGATTGTGGATAGATTGACCAAGTCAGCGCACTTCATCCTAGTTCGAATTGATTACTCTGTGGATAAGTATGTTGAATTGTACATTAAAAAGATTGTCTGTCTACATGGAGTGCATGTCTCAATAGTATCTGATAGAGATAAAAGGTTCACTTTGAGATTTTATAAATTTTTGCATAAATCCTTGGGAACTCAACTTAACTTTAGCACTTTTTTTAATCCTAAAAATGATGGACAATGAAAGTGAACTATTAAAATTTTGGAATATATGCTTAGGGCATGTGTTTTTTAATTTAAAGGCTCATGGGAAAAGTATTTGTCTTTAGTTGAGTTCTCTTATAACAATAGTTATTGAGTATCAAGATAGCTCCCTATGAAGCCTTATATGAATGAAATGTTGAACTCCTTTAAATGGTATGAGCTTCTACATCGAGATATTTTTGGCCCTAACCTAATTAAGGAAGTTGAGTACAAAGTGAAGATTATTCAAGATAATTGTAACACCCCATACCCGGTCACGAAGAATAACCCGGATACCTGAGTACGTTAGATTCTGAACTTGTTGGACATAACAAAAATCCTAAACATGAATACTATGGAGAATCATTTAAATTCAAAACATACATCATGCAATACATAACAACGGATTAACAAACAACATTTAACATTATTCAATAATCGACACATTGCAAGTTATACGTTATTAACTAAGCAGGGGTAAAACGATCAATTCACACCATCGATTAATTCAACTTAAAATATTATTATTCATTGTTAATCATTAATAAGTAAAATGAAAATTTCCAGATTAATCAAACACTAAAGGACCTAATTGAACATGTTTTTCTAAGGACCAAAACGTAAACAATTTAAAAGTCACACAAGAAGAAGAACCATGCAATTGACTCATTTATTATGAAATTCAATATATTAAAGTGTAACAGAACAAGTCTCATCGAATTCTAACTTAAAGTCTAATATTAATTACCAATTCAGTTTCTGAACCATTTTAAACTTATATAGACTTCCTAGAGTCAAACTAAAACTGAACGACACTTAAGACCTTTAATGAATGCAATTTTACCATTTTCCATTGAACACACATAAAAGGGATCGATCCTATGAAAAATAGTATGTTTGAGATCGATCCTTTCAAGCAAGGGATTGATCCTTTCCCCTAAGGGATCAATCCTTTTTCTGGTAAAGTGCAGAATTCTTAAGAACATGCATAAATAAGAAACCAAAATTTCACATAACCAATCCTAGGAACTAGATATATGCTTGGACATCTTCATACCTCTTCATACATGTCAAAATACACTTGTAGCATTCTTTACAAAAAAAAAGTCACAAAGTTATACAAGGATCTAGCATCAAAAGTCAAAGATTGCATAAAAGTTCACTTTTGGCACAAGTCACCTAGTCTAATTATGCATTTTGGGACATTGCAGGCATCTTATGATTCTAAAATATTTAGTACACTTAGTTTCACATTTCTAACCACACCAAACACTTCTTAAAGGCATACTTCAACATTTGATCATTTTGGTATTCAAACTACACATTCATATGAATTCAAATTCTCAAACAACATCAAACCAACATCATGCCTCATTTCATGTTTAAAAAACCAACTAGCATGCCACAATATTACAATTTTATCATCATAAAAATTATATAAGTCCCAATGGTTCCCACATTGTCATTTTATGAAAACAAACCACATACAACTACACATTCTATGAATTCAACATTCTCAAACAACATCAAACCAACATCATGCTCATTTCATGTTTAAAAAACCCAATAGCACACAATATTACAATTTTATCATCATAAAAATTATATAAGTCCCAATGGTTCCCACATTGTCATTTTATGAAAACAAACCACATACACTTTATTTAATGTTGTCTTGCTTGATCACATCGGATGCTTGCCCCTTGCCTCTAACTCCGCTATTAATCCTCTGGAAAAAATAAGTTTTAAACAAGTGTGAGCTGAAAACCCAGTGAATAACTATCATTCTAAGATAACCACAGAGTACTTTTTCCTAGGCATTCACTCCTCACTTGTTTTTACCTTAATAATCATGCCATCATGTCATAGTTCAATGTACACGTAAAGCACCATAAATGCACACAAAATCCAGATTATACACATGTTTTTCTTCACCATATATCCTGCAACAAATCACATGCACAATTACCTTTTTAATAAAGTCACACACACCTTACACACATAGTTTTCAATTAAGATCAATAGCTTTTTGTTTGAAACACAACTCACTCTTTAGATAAAAGGACTCCATACAAATCACTTTTATTTGTGGACTCACCTAGGTTTAAAACCACGACTTTCAAGAGTAAATTCAACGAACAAACCTTACCCCGTAATCTTATCAGAGCATTGCTCAACGCACCAATCTTACCCCGTATAACCCTTTGTTCACACACATATAGAAAACTATATAGTACTCTTTCCTAGACATTCCTTTCATATCCAAAGTTTCCACTAAGAAAAAATAGCAATTTAATCCAAGTTCACAAGAGTTGTTATCAAATGATGCATATATTATACACATGTACACTTTGAAACACTCATCGGAAAGGGTTTTCATGATCAACCTTATATGGACAACAAATTGTTCACTCATCCGTGGACAGTGAAGTAGTTCCACTCATCCTTAACACATTCATATATATATATATATACAAATTTCAAAATACACTTTCAAAACCACTATGCATCACTTACAACAAATCACATCAAGAACACATGCCAATATTCACATTTTATATCACATTTTATATTAATTATAGGTATAAATTTAAGTTCACTTATAATAGAGTTAAAGCTAAAGAATTACTCAAAGCTAAATTTTCATTTACCCTTAAACATGTTCATCCTCTAAGAATGAAAGTCACTCACCTTTGTTGTCCACTAACCGAAATTGCTTTCAAACACTTAGCAAATGATCACCAAAACACGATGCACTAATTTTATTCAATTATCAACACATTAAAAAACTTGGAAAGAAAAACAACACATCAAGAACAAATCCAAAACATAGCAGAATTTTTAGTTTCCAAAATAAAGTGAAAAGACCGAAATTATTGAAAACCCTACCAAAACAACTCTTTAAGCCTCAGATCCAATCAACACTACTTTTCCTCAATAAAATTTAATCAAGAAAAACCAATATCAATAACTAAACTCAACTAAAACCTCACAAATTGCATTAATTAACATTAATTATCGGATTTCCAGAAAACATCAAAATCAAGCTTGTTTTGAAGAATTCCTTATCCAAATAAATGAAATTGAAAAATTGATTTGGTATTATAATAATATCATCATAAACATCTAAATAATAACAAGAAATCATTGAAAATGATGAAGAAAAATATCACATTAAATACCTCCGAAAATCAAGTTTAATTCACAAATTTCTCTTTAAAATAATTGATTAATTAAAATCATCAAAACATTGAATCATTAATCACTGAAGCACAAAATGAACCAAGGAAAAGAGAATTACCTTGCTTCAAAAAGAAGATAGAGAGATAAAGAAGATCAATAATGGACACACTAAGAAACAAAAGAGAAAATAACAAGAAGAAAAGGAAATGAAACAATCTTGATTGAAGAGAAAATATCAAGATGAAAGGAGTAAGAATCAACAAAAAATGAATAGAAAATGAAGAAAAAGATCTTTGGCCATGGAAGAGCTTTTGGGAGGATTTTGGAGAGAAGCACAATAGTTTTTGGATGAGAGAATGAAAGAACGGATAATGAAACTAGGAACGAAAATGAGAAGAAATTTAGGAAAATGAATCTATCTAGGAAATTAGTAGAAAGGAAATGAAACTTACAGTTAGAGTTGGAGGGATCATTTTACATTTTAGTCACTAAAATCAACATTTTCAATTTATTCGATTTAGTCACTTAATAAAAATTTAATATTTATTATTAAAAATCATATCAAATATTCCAAAAATTATTTAAATAGTTAACATTAATATTTATAATTGTAAAAATAAAAAATATTATTTTTATCAGAAATTCCAAAAATCACCCAATTATCGACTCGAACTACTGACCTGGACTTTGGGACATTACAACTCTCTCCCCTTAAGAATAATTTTTTCCTCAAAATTACCTTAATCAAGAAATTATGGATACTAAGCTCTCATCGACTCCTCCGTCTCCCACGTCACTTCCTCAATATTGTGGTTACGCCACAACACTTTCACTAACAAAATCAATTTATTCCGGAGAACATTCACATCACTAGCCAAGATCTTAATTAGATTCTCCTTGCATAAAAGATCAGCACGAACCTTGACATCATCTGTCACAATGACATGAGAAGGATATGAGTGATACTTACGCAACATCGACAGATGGAACACATCATGAATACGCTCAAGCTCAGGCGGCAACATAAGACGATACGCAACAGAACCAACACACTCTAACACCTCATACAGTCTTATAAAGCTCAGACTAAGGTTACCTTTCTGTTCAAACCACAACACCTTTTTTCTAATGTGAAACCTTCATAAACCCAAAATAACCCACGATATACTCAATCTCAGGACGCTTCAAATTAACATAAGACTTTTGCTTATAAAAAATAACCTTCAAACTCTCTAAAATCAAATTAACCCTATCTTCGATCTCACAAACCAGATCTGAACCAACACCACACCTCTCACTCAACTCAGCCCAACACAGGGGAGTACGATACTTACGCCCATACAACGCCTTAAACAAAGCCATCTGAACATACGCAAATTCTACCAATAGAAAATAACGCTCCAAAGAACTCCACTAAAATATATAATAGAAGCTCGAAGCATATCTCCAAAACTTGAATCACACTCTCTAATCAACCATCAGTCTACAGATGATAAGTCGTTCTAAGACTAAGCCTCAAACCCAAAGCCTCATGCAAACTCTTCCAAAACCTCGATGTAAATAGATCCCGATCTGAAATAATCGACAAAAATACACCATGTAATCACACTATCTCAGCTATATACAACTATGCTAACCTCAATGAAAACAATGTATGAACTGGCAGAAAATATGCACTCTTAGAAAAATAATCGACATTCACCCAAATAAAATCCTTCTTTGACGGTGTCAATGACAAATGTGTCACAAAATCCATTGTAATATGCTTCTAATTCCACTCTGGAATACTAATCTACTTAAGCAAACTCGAAAGACACTGATGTTCGACCTTCACACCCTGACAAAACAAACATCACCCTAAAGATCAAGATGAAATGAGTAAGAATAAATAAAAAATGGATAAAAATGAAGAAGATCTTTAGCCATGAAAGAGCTTTTGAGAGGATTTTGGAGAGAAACAGAATAGTGTTTGGATGAGTGCTTAATGAAATTAGGAATGAAAATAAGAAGGAATTTATGAGAATGAATATATCTTAGATATTGGAAAAAAGGATATGGAACTTACGATTAGAGTTGGACGGAAAATCCAACCATAATAGCCTTGGTAAAACTAGCTTCACATATTTTGATTTGTGATACTTTCACATTGTAGTTACTAAAATCAACATTTTTAATTTATTCAATTTAGTCACTTAATAAACATTTATTTTATTATTATTAAAAATAATATTTAATATTTCAAAACTCATTTAAACACTTTAATATTAATACTTATAATTTTAAAAACCAAAAATATTATTTTTATCATAAATCTCGTAAATCACCCCAATTACCGACCCGACTAATGACTTGGACTTTGGGACATTACAATAACCTTAAGTTTGTTGTCAACCAACATAAGTCTTGTTTAGATTTGAAAAGGAAAGAGATTGAACATTAGGTTGATGATAAGGTATTTCTTAAAGTATCACAATGAAAAAAGGTATTGTGATTTGAACGAAAAGGAAAATTGAGCCCGGGATTTATTGGTCCTTATGAATTATGAAAAGAGTCATTTCGGTGGCTTATCAGCTATCGCTACCTCCAAAAATGGATAAGATTCATAATGTTTTTCATGTATCGATACTTCGAATATCGTTCAAATCCTTCACATGTTATTAAACCATAGAAGATTGAGATTTAGCCATATTTGAAATACAAAGAATAACTGGTAAAGATGTTAGAGTATGGATTCAAAGAAAAAAGGAATAAGACGATACCGCTTGTTAAAACACCTCAGAGAGATCATACAGTTGAAGAAGAGACTTGGGAAACATAAGAAGAAATGAAAAGTAATATCCTTATATATTTAAATCAAGTAGGTAGTAAAAATTTAAGGACTAATTTTCTTAAGGCGTAGAATTATAATACCCTAAAATTTTGGATAGTCACCAAAATGAATAAATTGAAAGTTTAGTGGCCAAAGTATAAATATAGGAAAAGTTTAGGGATTAAGTTGTAACTTTCAAAAGTTATTTATTTTAGTCTCGTGAATAAATAGTTTACCTCAAGAATGTCATTTTTATTTTGCTATGATTTTTCGTATGGAGTTTGTATAAAAAGATATAAAGCGATAATGTTCAAGAAAAATTCAAATAATAGGATTGAATCAGAGTTTTGAGATATTTTAAAGGATGATAAGGCATGGTTAATAATTTTATTTACATGCTTTAAAATTTTGGGATTTTATGTAGATCATTTGATTTAAGTTGATTTTCCATGTTAAATATGGATCGTTTGATGAAAAATTGCAAGATTGAAAATTTTGGAAAAGTATAATGGCAAAGTTGGAAGCTATTAATTTGTTGGTTCATCTTTGAGCTTTGGATATGTGGCTTGGTAATAACCATGTGATATTAAGGGGAAAAAGGTCATTTGACATTAAAATGACAAATGGCTTAAGATATTTTCTAAGAAATTTCAAGACTTCTTCATCATTTCCTTTTCCATGGTGTTAGCTTTTACAAGGGTAAGGAAAAAAAATTTCTTTTTTATTTTCAACCCAATTTATTAAGATTTTGGATGAAGGCATGAAGTACAAAATTATTCTACATAAAATTCTCAATCATTTGATATCATGTGTTCATATTTTCCATGTTTAAAACCTTGAATTATTGAATTGGATGGATGAAGGGGAGGTTAGGATTTTATGTAGTTCATGTTGTTGAATTATTTCCATGCTTGAAAGTTGATTGGAAACCATTAGAAACGGTAATTAAAGTATTTAACCATTAAGGTTCATTATGAATAATTGAAGTTGAATTGAAATTTATATGAGATTGATTGTAATTACTTGGAAATGATATTTAGATGTTGAATTCATGCTTGAATCAAGTTGGAGATCATACTAAAATGGACTATTCATAATTTGCCTATAAGGGGAAAATAGGGAAAATCATGGAAAATTATAAAAGGGTTAGAAATGATTAATGAATGATTTTATAAGCTTTAGAATATTGTTTGGATTAATTTGGAAGTTTATAAAGGTTAGGGGACCAAATCAAATATTGTAGAAACAAGGGGTTTCAAATGGTAATTGGTCAAAAATTGATGTATCTTGCTTGAATAAATTGTTGGTATGTTTGAACTTGAATTTGAAGTTAAAATGGAATGGGACCATTTCGAATATTTTGGAAATATTGAGATGAATTCTAAAAGAATTCATTTTAGTAGTTAATTATGAGATTGAAAATGGTTATATGTTATATTTTTTAATTGGATAATGATAGAACTAAAGTTTTAATTTGAACAGTTAAGGTTGACATTGATGTTATGAAATTGAATTAGTATCGAGTAAGTATCGAAAGAATTTTTAGAATTGTTTATGCTATTATGCGCCTATGTTAGTAAGATACTAATATTTACTTTGAAATGTATATATTTTTAAATAATGTACGTATAGATCGTGATCGAAATCGAGATATAAACAAGCTTAAAGCTAAGGTAAAATTGAAAGAGTGTGGCATATCGATAGTAAAGGTTTGCTAGTGAGGCATACAAGGTGAGTGAATTCTTACTTATATTATATATATATATATGAGGAATACTTTCGATGAGTCGGCCACAAATGTTTTGAAAATGAAAAAGATTTGAATCGTATTATGATAAATATATATATATATTAATAATGCTTTGTTAAATGATGTTTAAATGATTTCGGGTATGAACTGCTCAATGCACTATTATATGATAATTGATATATAAGTATCTATGGATACTTCTGATTAATGAAATATATGTGATTTTGATATAAATCCCATTTTATGTGCATTGAGAGTTATTGGCACAATTAGCATAGCATGAGGTGGAGTGTTCATCGATCGATTATGTATTGGTACATTTGTGTACATTATATGTGGCAATATATGTGTAATGTGGGAGTTCATGATGTTTTGACGTTGTGAGCTACCATTCTGATTATTGATTTTCTTTATATTGATGATGTGTTCTACAGTACCTATGCATCTACCTTAAACAAAAAGTGTATATTATCTACGTGGCAGTTAAACTACATATTGTACACTCGTATGTAACTCGTGTACCGTGCATTCTCATTTGATAAACATTGGGCTATTAATTATATGAAATTGAAAAGTGCAGGTTGATTGGTTCAATGGAAATTAAATGTTTCATTGAGTCCTCTGATTTGGTTACATGTGATATATGTGTGTGTGTGTGTGTGTGTGTGTGTGTGTGTGTGTGTGTGTGTGTGCATTGTTGTTTTACATGTTATTTGAAAAGGAAAAGACTTTGACAAGTTTGTTTTACATGTTTATACGTTATTATATAATACTTACAATATTATGATTTATATGATATTTTATATATCTATATGCCTTACTTTATTTATGATAATGCCTCACTAAGTATATACTTAGCGTGTGATGATTTTCACGTGTAGGAAAAGGAGATCGAATGGAGTAATAAGCTTAGCTTGGAATCACTTATCAAGGACTATGTACCAGTATCAGTAATTGTATCTTACTGTTGTTTTGAATTTTTAGTTTGCATGTATACGTGTAATAAGTGTCTATAATATTTTAATATTCCTAGGTTTAAAATGGGTTAGAAAAGCTCTGATATGTATATGATGTTTAAATGGTTTGAAATAGTTTATATGTATAAATTTTAGTAAGTAAAATATAGTTATAAATACGAAATTTAGTTTTATATTTGACAAAGCTATATTTTATTAGAGTAAAGAAAATTTTCTATTGAAGTAGTTTTTAGGAAGTTTCATGTAGTATATGATACAATATTAAATTTGTTAAGATGATGTGAGAAATCAAATATGATTTGAATGTTAAAATATTATTTTTTGATTTTACGCGATTAAAGAATTTTAATGTTTGGTGTTAAAATGAGTTATTATAAAAGAAACAAGATTTTTACTGATTTTTGAAACAAGAACTATTTTTAAAAGTCTGATATGACATCTCTGACTCGTGTTCTATAACGAATATGGGAAATGGGTGTTACTTCCTTTAATGCCCTGAATCTTGGGTTAAAAGTTTTGAGTTATTCCAAGATGTTTTAAACGAGCCCATCTACCTTGGAATAACTTGATCCATTTGAGTTATAAGTTGGGGCTAGTTTGAGGCCCATTTGATATTAAAAAGTGGTAATTTTAATCTTAGGATAAAATGGAAGAGACTAAAAGTGAAATTAGATCAGATTTTAAAACAAAAGCAGAAAACTAATTAATTTGGGTGATCTCACATATATTCCTCTCTTTTTCACCAAATTATACATTTTATCTTCGTCTCTTATTCATCATCCTTCTTTTCCTTTCCAAGAACTTAGAAAATGTCAAAATTTTGTAG